GTGCAGATCTTGCCTTTAACAGCCTGATTATTCTCTTGCATGCTGCATTCGCGTTCTCAAAAGCCAAAGATTTGATTATTATCTGGCTAGCTTCTGAATTTGGGACCATTCTATTTACTGCTGAAGTCAGCCTTTGTAAAATATCTGTGAATGATTCTTCTGGGCCCTGTATAACTTTTGTGAATGACTCAGTTTTCTTTCCTGCTTCCTCAATTCTGTCCCATGCATTCAAGGCTGCTCTTTGACATAGAATTAGGTTTTGGTTATCATATAAACATTGTCTTTGTATTTCAGCATATTGACCTTCTCCAACAAGCTTATCCTGGGAGATTTGCACACTTCTAGCCCTCCATTGATTTTCTATGTTTTTAGCTTTATCTCTGAACCACATATGCCACTGCAACTGGGCCCCGGATTCCAGGACAGCAATTACCAGCTCTTTCGAGTCCTGTGGAATAATCTTATTATAATTTGACCAGGAGTTTAACATTTGCTTTACAAATGGGGAATGCATGCCATAAGATACTATTGCCTCCTTAAACCTTCTTAAATCTAACATTTCAATTGGAATCCAATTATTTTGTGCATTCACTTAACCAGGTAGCTGCTGTATGTTTACCGGACAAATTAAGTTTGATTGTTTGAAAACAGGCTTTCTTTCTGTAACCTTATAATCCAATCCTGAAATAATTTCACCCTGAAATTCTTCTGTCTGAGTCTGAATTTCTCCATAATTCATTTTAACAGGTTTTTCTAAAGCTTTTATCCTGGCACTTAAATTGACTATCTTTTTAAATAGTAAAATAAGGATAAGGAAAGTAATAATATGCATAATTGGTGTAATGTACATCCCATCAAAATTAATCTCATATAATTGTTCCATTTTCAGACTGCCTAAAGTTTTATCAAAGACCAGTTTCCTTCAGTTTTACAGATAATACCCTCCCATTTTTTTTTTTTTTTTTGGACATTTTTTTCTCTTTTAAGTAGTTTTTCCTTTTAAAATATCTGACATCTTAATTGACTTACCAGGTCTGCGTAGAATAGTAGAAATCTGAGGGAATTTCAAAACAGCTACTTAGTGTGGTTGTGGGGGCGGGGGGAGAAAAGCCACGTGCCCTCGCTTGAGCCAATTCGGGCCTGCGTTGTTGGTAGCACCTGCGGTAGCACCTGCTTTTTTAAGCCTGAGCCTCTTGAGTTGGCAATCTGTCTGCAAGTAGCTCCAGCTGCAGGTAACCGCTTGTAGCTATGGTCGGTTGGGCCAGGCAGCCAGGCCGAGCCGGGCAGTTTTTAATGAATTCTTGCCATGTGTGCACCAAATGTAGATGTAATTCTAAATGGTCTTATTAAATAAGAAACAGAGAGCCAAATAAAGAGTTAAAAGCCCAAGAGGTCAGAGCACTAGCCAATAGCCTATAGCTTACCAGTCGCTGCAGTCCTTCTCCTCAGAAAGAGACCTACTTCCTGTGTGTCTGTATTTTTTAGACTTTCTGTTCTGCCTTCTCATTGGTTCTAAACCCAACCACATGACTTCTTTGTCACTGCCTTTCTATACAGACCTCTAATGGCCCATGCACAAAATCTCATCACTGGTAGCAATCAGTAGTACTGCTTCATAGAGGTTACATATTATTATTTTATTACATCTTTTCCTGTGTGTGTGTGAGTGTGTGTGTGTGTATGTGTGCGTGTGTGTGTGTGTGTGTGTGTGTGTGCGCGTGCACACACATGCACGCGCAGATGTCTTAGGGGTTTTATTGCTGTGAAGAGACACCGTGACCGTGGGAACTCTTATAAGGGAAAACATTTATTTGGCATGGCTTACATTTTCAGAGTTTAGTCCTTTATCATAATGGTGTGATATGGTGGCATTCAGCCAGAAATGGTACTGGAAAAGTAGCTGAGAGACCTCCATGTTGACTCATAGGTAACAGGAAGTTGTCTGAGACATTGGGTGTGGGTTGAGCATATATGAGACCTTGAAGCCAGCCTCCATACTAACACACTTCCTCCAACAAAACCACACCTGCTCCAACAAGGCCACACCTCCTAATAATGCCACTCCCTTTGGGGAACATTTTCTTTCAAACCACCACAGAGGACAACTTTGAGGAATTAGTTTTATTCTTCCATCATGTGTGTCCCAGGAGATATAAGGTCATTAAGCCTGGTGACAAGTGTTTTTACCTGCTGATCATCTCACTGGCTTAAGTTACATATCATAAAGTGAATACTAGCAAAATTAACAAGAATTTTGAATTTTCACAAAGTAAACCATTTAGAAATACCAGGGGTTACTTGGCATGGTACACGCCTGCAGTCAGGAAATGGAGGCAGGAAGAAGGAATCACAGCTCCATAGTAACTCCAAGCCAGCCTGGGCTACTTCATCTGTCAGAAACCGAGACAGGGAGGTCAGTGGTGTGTAGTGTGAATTTTAGTTGGTCTTAATAATAAAAATCCAGAGTCAAATATAGAGGTGAAAGGTCAGAGAGACGAAGGAGCAAGCCACAGCCACTTCTTACCTCACCAACTCCTCAGCCTAAAAAGGGGGCTGAGCTCCTGTCTCCACCCAGCCATATCACTTCCTGTCTCTACCTCCCTATTGCTGGGAAGTAAATGCGTGAGCTACCACCACCTGGCTCTGTTTCTTTTTTAAACTTCAATCTCGTGTAGCCCAGGTTGGTCTTGAACTCTTGATCTTCTTGCTTCCTCCTCCCAAGTGCTGGGATTAAAGGTGTGTGCCACCACTGCCGGGCCTCTATGATTAGCCAGTGGCTGGCTCCCCACTCTGATCTCTCGGTAAGCTTTATTTGTTTAGAGCAGAAACAAAATATCACCACAGTGGTGTCTTACCTGCCTTAAGCCTTGTGTGCCGATCACAAGTCTGACTATTGCCACTGTAACTTAAGCACTGGTGGTGTTCCAGCACCATGAACTGCTTTCGCATGTTTCTTTAATTTGTACACGTGGGATCGTACTCAAGGAATGATTTGTCTTTCGATGCTTTTGTGGTACGAAATCCATGGATGCTGTTACTTAGCTGCAATGGTTTGTCCGTTCTTGCTGCTGAATTATGTCTTTGTACCAATAGACCATGATTAATCCATTTAGTCCACAAGAATATGGGTTGGTTGCAGGTTGGGGAAAATGGATATATGGAGAACAGTACAGACTTCCAGAATTAGACAAGCGTGGGTAAATATATTTTTGGTTTTATATATAATGCAGATAGGAAAACTTTTCTTTTAGACAAGGTCTCACTGTATAGCCCTCACTGAGCTGGAACTTGTTATATAGACCAGGGTGCCTCTGCCCGAGTGCTGGGATTAAAAGTAAGCACCACCATGTCTGGTCTGAAAAAAACCTATTGCAATTTGTAACAATACTATTTACAATACCAAGGGGTAGACCAAAATATGTGTAAACCCTGATTAGACCACAAAGTAATTGCAAATTATAGGAGACCTAAATAAATGATGTCACATTCATGACTTGGAAAGCTGATTATTGTTAAGATGTTGATTTACACTCATGGTTATATATGTTTAATGTAATCTTAAGAAGACTATGGCATATACTTTGTAGAAAGTAGCAAACTGATTTAAATTTGTGAAAATAAAAAGACCTAAATAATAAGTAATGATATTACAACACAAGAAACAAGGTTGGTAGACTCACTTCCTATATTCAGAACCTGCTAGTGCTGTGGTAATTAGGACCGTAGTTGCAAGGAGAGGCACACAGGTCAATGTGCAAGCTAACATGTACCTCGGGAGTCCCTTGGTATGTAAGAAAAATGCCAGGGTAATTTATAGAGAAAAGATTTTCTTTTAAAAAATGTTGTGTGGAATAACTGGAGGCATAAAGTAGTGTTTGCCTGTACTCTCAGTTAATGCATTTTCTTAGCAAAATTCTTATTAAAAAGTCTAGGTCATTAAGCCGGGCCGTGGTGGCGCACGCCTTTAATCCCAGCACTTGGGAGGAAGAGGCAGGCGGATCTCTGTGAGTTCGAGGCCAGCCTGGTCTACAAAGTGAGTTCCAGGAAAGGCGCAAAACTACAGAGAAACCCTGTCTCGAAAAACCAAAAAAAATACTTAAAAAAAAAAAAAAAAGTCTAGGTCATTAAAGTATGATGAGGATTGAAATGGCAGCAAAACATGGTCTTTGGGCTTAACATTAGTGGTAAAATAGTGGCAGCTATGTTTTTAATAATATTTTTTAATTCCAGTCTGGCCTCCTGAGTGCTGGGATCACAGGTTTGTGCCATCATGCCCAGACTCAGAGTCATCTATCTTTCAAGAGTCAGTGTTCTTATGGGTCTCAATAGTTTTTTTTTTTTTTCAGTTACAATTTTTGTAATGAACAGAACTGTATGCATTAAAGTGTTATTTGTACATTTCATATGCTTGTGTATTTGGTATATTTGTATATTATATTGTAACTATTGTGACTATATCCCTACTAAGTTTTACTTATCTATTATTGGATTTCCCTGTACTTTAAAAAAAGAAAGAAAGAAACCATTTGTTTTGTGGGTATTGCTGTGTGCTGTGTCCCTTGTGGAGGTCAGAGAACAGCACATGGGAGTTAGTCCTCTCTTTCCACCAGGAGTTGCAGAGATTGAATTCGGGTCATCAAGTGCCTTAACCTGCTGAGCCATCTTGCCGGCCTACCTGTGCTTGTGAATCATAGAGATGAATTGATAGTACATGGGCTTTGTTAAATATTTGATTTTATCTCCTCTTTCCTAATAGTTGTTCAGCTAACGTATGTAATGAGGGCTGGCTGTACAAGTCAGCAAGTAAAAGTGCCTGTTGCCCAGCCTGTGTTTGTGCCCCAGATCCACATGGTAGAAAGAACTGACTCTCCCAAGTTGTCCTCTAATAAATAGCATTATTAAATAATAATAAATTAGAAAAATTCTGTTAACTGCAATTTTTTTCCTTCTGTCTTTTTTTTTTTTTTTTTTTTTTTTTTTTTTTTTTTTTACCATTTTAGTAACACTGATGATGTTATGTTAATTTCTGTGGAAAAACCTAATTTGACAACTCCAGTTACATCAGCTCCAACAGGTATCTTAACATGTTTAGAATATGTTCTATCAAATTAGAAAGCTTTAAAATAAAGAATGAGCGATGTCTTTTTAAAAGATTTTTATTTTCATTTATGTGAATATGTGTTTGTGTGAGTATATACTTCGTGTGTGGATGCTGTAAGAGGCCAGAGAAGACATTGATCCCCTTAGAGCTGGAATTGCAGACAGTTGTGAACTCCCTGATGTGGGTGCTGGGAACTGAACTCAGGACCTCTGGAAGAACAGCAAGTAGCCTTAACCCCTGAGCCATCTCTCAAGCCCCATTATCTTTTAATAAGGTACAGCATTGTCTATTTAATCTTCTAGTTTATATGTAGGATTACAAATTATTAATACCTAATTAAAATTGATGATTCATTAATAAAATTGACATTTCTTTTAATCTTTGTACCTATCAGTTTAAGGTCTTTTACTTTTCCTTTAATATATTGATCTAATGATTTACGACTTAAATCATGTATATGTTTTGTTTGCCCTGATCTTCTGTTAGTGGCAGTGATAATTTGTCTATGTGTCTGTTAGTTAATAACCTAATTTAGATTTAAAGTTTCTTCTTGATTAACTGTTTTTAAATTTTTTAAATTCCTTTCAGTTTTAGAGATTGTGTATAATGCTTTGTTTAAAAAAAACAATTTTTTTCAATGAGATAGGTTTTTGTAGAGCTCAGCATAAAATGTATCTGCTTTTACGTGTATGTGACAGCTATTCACAGGATATGAACTCGGTGAGGTAAGGAAGACATTGAATTTCTGATCTTCCTGCCTTCTTCCTGGGATTACAAGCATGTACACATCTGGTTTTGTAGAAAACTTTTTTCCTAATTTAAAAATGGCCCTATTGCTTGCCCACAATTACCCAGAATTCCCTTTGTTTGTGTCATGTTTTGCTGTGTTGAAATGTTTATATCTTAACATCAGAAGGCTTTGCACTCCCTCCCACCCTGCATATAAGAATATTTATCTCAACAGTTTGTGTGTTAAAGAGTTCCAAAGAAGTGGAGGTCTCTACATTCCAGGAAGGTGCTCCTTAGGTACTCTAAAAGATACTGTGAATAACAAAATGTCACAAGTGCAGATGCTAAAATAGTTTCAGACTTTAAAAAACAGGAGCTACTAATGTAGTTGTAAAGCTACTGAAAGAAAATATGTTTTAATCCCAAATCAAAATTTTAAACTCGCTTATCAGCTTTAGGGATATATAAATTCAGCTACTTTTATTATATTTGTGTTTCATTATTTGTGTTTCAGTATCTTGTATTGCAAAGACCATGTTTAATAGTTCAATACATTTAATTGGAAGTATTCATGTTTTTTATTCCCTTTCTTCCAGAAATTGGAAAAAACACATCAAGGAAATTTAGCAACTCACCTAATACCATAATTGAAGTTGGGGTAGGTAACAGTTGTTGTCTCTGAATATTTCATCTGAATGTTTATGCTATAGCATCTACAGTATTACAGCATGCTGTGGGGAATGAGTTTTGTCATTCACTCTTTGTCTAGGTGCAATGAAAGTCTCCAGTGAATTGTCCCTTGACTGCCCCTCCTTCAGTGTGGGTTGGAGGGGGTAACAAACAAATATAGGAGTAGTTTGCATATCCAGATTCTAGTCCAGCTTGCACACTGGAAACCAGGCAGCTACATATATTTCAGAATGACACACACTTAGCAATTCACTGAGATTCTTAACCGTAATTTCAGACACTGCAATAGCTTAGGAGTGTCTCTTATAGTAGAGCCAATTTAAACCGTAAGTTGTTTAGAGAACGTTGAGTCGCCAGCTTCTGACTATTAGGTGGGGCTGGGTTGGTGACACACTTGTAAGCATGAATGTGAACAAGGTAAGGTTCAATCCTCAGCACTGAAAAATGAAAATGTACTTTTATATTTTAAAAACATTTTCTGCTATTAAATTTAAATTTTTTTAACAAAACTTTTTAGGCTGTAGAGAAGAAACTTGATTTTGTTATTGACTTGACAAAAGAAGGCCTGCCCAACTACAGCAGAGGTAAAGGATACTTTTACATCTTCCTTTCTAAGAAAAAGGATGTGGGTTTGTGTGACTGGACCAAAGATTACAGAATCACAGAATTGGTTAGTCTTTGAAGCCTGCCTTGTGCTACCCCTTAAAGGCACACATACCATCTACCCCAGTCCCTAAGCTGTGGCAACCATTAATATGCTTTCTTCTCTGTAGTTAGGTAATTGTAGTGTGATTGTACAATAAATATCCATCCTTCTGAGATTGACTTCTTTCAATGTGGCTCTTTAGCAGGTTATTAATGTTGTTTTGTATAATAACGTATTCCTTTTTGTGGTCAAGTAATAGCTCAGGTATGTATGTATCATAATCTCTTTATCTATTCACCCTTTGAAGGACGTTTGGATTGTTGGGACTGCTCTGAGTCTCTCATCTCCTTGTGGCACACATTTTTCTTAACCATAACAATAGTGCCTGAGAGGAAGTATGTAGAGTCAGGAATAGAGGAATGTTATTCATACATGATATGAAAATGAAGAATAGTGGCACCAGTTTCCTATTTCTTCAATTTGAGCCAAAAGATTTATAATTTTCTGAGATTGGAAGTCAATCATATAGTCGCATTCTGAGTACTGAGAAGTATAATCCACACAGCTAAGAAATTCAATCAATTTCAAGCAGAATCAAACCAAGAATACCTTATCAATACATAAAAATCATTTTCTTGAAAACAACTGAAAAAATTGCATATGTTAGCATTGAACCAATACAAAGATTATTAGCATGGTCTCTGTACAAGGATAGTATGCAAATGTATGAAGTTTCCATACCTTTAAAAAAAAATGCAGGAAAAGAAAGAACAAAGGTTTCACAGAATTCTCAGCTAGAACCATTTAAGCTAAAAGAAAATGAATCACATCATTAAAGGCTACATGAGGAAAGGAGGAAGAGGAGGATGAAGATGATCACCACCATCATGAATGAAAGTATCTGGACCAGGAAGTTCATGACCAACCATCTACTTCAGAGCAAACAAATGTCCTTCACCCTGGGAAGACAACTAGACTGAACACAGAAGTTCAGGGAAAGCAGCTAAAATATACAAAGCCACCAGATGTTATCTTTGTATTTATTTGGATTCAGAACTCATAATTCTTTGGATCATGCAAAGAAAAACCCAAACACCAAGTTTCATGGTGTTTTGAAGACATGGCCTATATGATCAAAAAGAGACCTCAAAAGAACTGCAAAAGGAATGTAAGATCAGAATGAAAGGGAGTTGGGTGTGGCTACAAAGGCCAACACTGCTGCAAAAAGCAAGATGAACAAATATGTTTTGGTGACTTGATCTGTGTTGGCACGATGTCTAAGGAAAATGTTGTGGGGTAAAGATCCAAAGACCACTTAGCATGACCATCTGAACTGAGCATCTATATTAAGCTGACCAGGGCTGCCTAGAGAAAAACAATTCTCAGAGAACAGCCTTAAAGAAAGAACACAGAGCCGGGCGGTGGTGGCGCACGCCTTTAATCCCAGCACTCGGGAGGCAGAGCCAGGCGGATCTCTGTGAGTTCGAGGCCAGCCTGGACTACCAAGTGAGTTCCAGGAAAGGCGCAAAGCTACACAGAGAAACCCTGTCTCGAAAAACCAAAAAAAAAAGAAAGAACACAGAAAAATTTACATCCTAGATAGCAGTTGTGGGGTAGAGCAAGCAAGCAGTTTAACAGAAGCCAAAAAACATGCAGTTATCTGGGGCATTTCAACCCTGAGTTTCTAGAACAGGATTAGACACTTTCCCACAGGACTTTTCATGGTGGGAATAGAAAAGGAGGGATCAGTTTCAGGCTAAATCAAAGATGGCTCCAAATGAGACAAGAGAGAAGACTCTTTGCCCTGTTATATGGAAGATTAATGCAGTATAGATATTTCAAGGAAAAAAATTACCAACCTTGAATTCTTAATCAAGTAGATATTTCTTTCAAAAATGAAATAGTAATGATGCACACCTGTGATTCCAGCGCTTGAGAGTTGAAGACAGGAGGATTGGAAGTTAAGGCCAATCTGGGCATAGCATGAGACCCTGTCTCAAAAACAAAAATAGAAATAAGATTAAGACCTTTTCAGGTAAACAAGTTTTTGCCAGCTGACCACTATCAGAACTAAAGGAAGTTGTATGTGTGGGTATGTGTGTACATATGCACACCTGTGAATATTATGGAGGCCAAAAGTTTATGTCAGGAGTTTTTAGACATTCTCTCACTGAATCTGGGGCTCACCATTTCAGCTGGACTTACTGTCCAGCAAGCCCTGTGGATCTACGTGTCTCCATATCCCCTGTGCTGGAATTACAGACACTTGTGCCCAGCTTTCATGTGAGTGCTACAGATCCAGATACCGGTCTTCATGCTTGCATAGCAAACCTGTTAGCCACAGAATCATCTCCCCAGCCGTAAAGGAAGTTTACTAAAGCAAATAAGATATCAACTGAAAAGTGGGTCCATGTTAAAAAGTGTTAACCAAATTGTAGTACAGTAAGGATGGGCATGGTAATAAATATTTTAAGTAGAAGAATAATAAACCAGGTGTGGCAATAAAATGGAGTTTTCAAGATACTCATCCAAGAGACTCCACAACAAAACAAAGCCGAATCCAAAACAGGAAGACCATTACTTTGATATAAATAAGAAAATAAGAAGTGAGCAAAAGCGATGTCCTAAGTAGTGTTCTCATTAGGGAAAGTAAAGCCTTAATGAGATTTACAACATATCCAATAGAATAACCAAAGTGAACTGAAGGTGTGATATGTTGCTGAGGGCATGTATCAACTTGGGATTCTTTGTTACTAATCATGTAAAATGGCTAAACAACTTAATTTGACAGTTTTAAAAAATATTACTTATAGCCTTGTTGTATGAATAGACCGATCTTTTCCATATATTTCTCCAAGGAAAGAAAACCCACATCCAAACATACTTGATTTGACAGGATCTCATTAAGTAGCTCATCTGCCCCTTAACTTGCAGCTTTACCTCCGTTTCCCAAATGCTGGCATTGTAGATGTGTATACCACCACATTCAGCTACACACAGTAAAAACATAATTTCTCATAACATCTTTATTTAAAAGTCTACCAGCTGATGAATATATAGATTACTTATCTATATACCTTAACAATCAAGAAACAACATGTTTATATATGTGGCCAATATATAATGGCACATGATGGCAAAATAATCCTGTGTTTGTATGATTCAGTATGTGTGAGATTCTAGAAAAGGCAAGTCCTTTTTCAGTGCTAGATATTAATCCCTTGGCCATGCTGATACAGCTCATCTAAATATAACCTTTTTGGTTTATTGAGAGAAGGTTTCTCTAGCCCTGGCTCTCCTGGAACTGCTGGCCTCTAACTCAGAGATCCTTCTGTCTCTGTCTCCCAAGTGCTGGGATTAAAGGTGTGTGCCACCAATGCCCTGCCTGTCTATAGTCATTAGTGACAACAATTGATTTCAAGTGAGATAGGTTGATTGAAAAAGAATCCTAAAGAACTTCTGTGGATAAACTGGCCATAATGGTGCATGCCTGTAATTCCAGGAAGTAGAGCAAGAGGATCAGGAGTTCAAGACCAGCCTGGGCTACATGACACCTTATCTCAAAGAACAAGCACAGACAAGAGAAAGCTTAGGGGTGATTATACCTTATTTTGGTAATGGTTTCAGGTCTCAAAAGTATATGTTAAAACTTAGAAAGGGTGTATCTTGTTGGGTATAAATTGCATCTCTGAGTAGGTCATTTCCAAAATATAACATTCAAAGGTTAAGTGGAAAGTAGGGGCCACAGCTTTCACCTGTTTAATGAGAATCTTAAAACAACATGGTTCTAGCTACTGTTGCTTTGGGAGCACAAAACAGTAACACCACTGTTACTCATTTTTTTTTTTAATAGAGATAAGGATAAAAGCTAAGACATTGGCATTACTAATGATAACACATACTAACACCAGTTGGCAGAAGTCATGTTTCTTAACACCACAAAGTTGGGTCTCTGGGCCTGTGTTACTTTGTCCAGAGCTTGTTGATTATTACTTTGAAGTAAGTGTTACTCCTGGGAAATTATGTTTCTTAGGATTTTTCTTTGTACTAAATTATTTACTTGAAAGTTTAAAGGCTATTTTATCACTTTATGTGATGATTAGTTTGAAGACTTTGATTTTAGCAGACCTAGCTTTGATTAATTAAAGCATGATTAAAAGCCTATACAGAATCTCAAAATTAAAACCAAAAATTTATTACCTCTTCTAAGGTTTCTTAATACCTGTAAAATAGTTGGCCATGATGGCATGCACATTTAATCCCAGTACTTAGGAGGCAGAAGCAGGTGGATCTCTGTGTTCTAAGGCAGCTAGAGCTATATAGTGAGACTTTGTCTCAAATACAGACACACACACACAAGAAAAAGGAAAAGAACTGTAAAAATAAACAGACAAAAAAATCTAAAATCTTAATAATCTTTTTATACCAAAAGAAAAATACAAGCAAATAATTGCAGAGGGTGCATCAAGCACAGACCTCATATGGTGATTACTGATCATTACTGATCTAGCCCTCATACTTTCCAGTGTTATCCACCCTTCTCTATGTGTTCTCCACCTCGCTGTTTAAAACCATTCACACACCTTTCTACACCTTTCCTTCTGTCCCACCACAGCTTCTCCATCCTCCCCACCTCCTTTTTCTTCCTCTTACTATGTCTTTCCTTCTTCTCTTTTCCCGTCCCACAATCAATATCTTTAATTCCCTCCATATGAATACATACCTCAGGAGAGAGTGCTCCTAGCTTGTTGGACTTTTTTGTTTGAATTCCTAAGCTTGTGTATGTTACATATTCATATGTGTTTATAAGTAACTTAGTGTTTGTAGGCATCCTTATTGATCTAACAGAAAAGTCTACCTGTTTGATCTCTTGGATCCCTCTCCCATGTATAAATACTAAATTCCTAGTTGCAATAATAAAGGATTTACTTTTAGAGGAAGTTTTTGTCACCTTAATGGAAAAATCTATGTATTCTATCAAAACTGTATATTCATGTGAATTTTGTGCTTGTAACTGTATTTATTACCCAAGGTGTACAACTGTTTAAACACTGTGGAATTTGTTCCAGGTAAATTTTACTTACTTATTTTCATTTTCTTGTAGTGCTGGAGCCTTCTCACTTATGGTAGACAAGTGCTTTATCACTGAGATACACCCTTAGCTCTAAATTATACTGTCTTGTTCACAGAAAGCCCAGCATTCACCCTGAAGTCATCTTCGAAAGCTGTTTTAAGATCAAATGAAATAATCCCAGTGGCAGAAAATGGAGCTGAGGTACTAATCTGAAATGCTGTGTAAAAGATGTTCATTCCAGCAGAGTGGGATTTATCTGTTTTACTCTGGAAACATCTGAGCCCCATTTCAGCTTAGGAAACACCTTAATGGCTTTTCTTGTGAATCCACTTACATAATAAAAAGAATTCAGTTAGCAATTTTTAGAAGCTATAGAAATGGAAACAGTTTTTCATTTATTTTAGGATTAATAACCATTGTTGATGAGGTTATTGGAGAAATTACTATGATGTTTGGAAACACAATGTTGAAATGAGATTGTTTGCTCTCCTGAAGGCCTGAGACCTCCTTCATTATGGATTAGTAATATTTCACAGTGTACTAATTATTATTCTGACAGCTTGGAATGTGGCTCAGAGGTAGAACATTTACCTAGCATGTGCAACGTGCTGTGTCCAGTTCCTCGGATCATTCAAAACAAATCTAAGCTCCAAAGAACCTTCTGTTTTGAAAAGATTGGATCTAGAGGCTAGGAGATGGTGCAGTCATTAAAGTGCACTGCAGATGTGAAGACCTGAGTTTGGTCCTGTAACCAGCATTTACAAATTAAATAAGCCAAGCTAGGAAGGCAGAAACAAGTGGATCCCTGGAGTTTGCTGTCCAGACAGACTAGCCTAATGCAGTGAGGAATATAGATAGCATGCGAGGTTGTCCTCTGACCTCCCCGCATGTGTATATACACTGACAGGGGTACTAGCACATACATACAAAACATTAATCTAGCTTCATTTTTCTTGAAATAACCTTTCATTGCTTTGATGAAGGATTGAAAAACGAGAAGTAGATTTGTACACCTGAGCTTGACCACTTTTGTCTGTACTCACCAAATGATCTCGATGAACTTTCTTGCAAATGTGTTTGTAGGGTTTTGATTCATTTGAACACCTGCCACCTCTCCCAGAGCCACCACCACCACTCCCTGAGATGGCAGACAAAATCCAAGACACTCTTCCTCCCCAAAAGCCTGAGCTGAGAGTGAAGTGGGTGTTGAAGCCGCCAGGCATTGCACTGACTTGGAACATCCCCAAGGTCAACCCCAAGTGTGCTCCTGTGGAGAGCTACCACCTCTTCCTGTGCTATGAGAACTCAAATCATTTGACTTGGAAGAAAATTGCAGAAATTAAAGCTTTACCTCTCCCAATGGCCTGCACTTTATCTCAGTTTTTAGCTTCCAACAAATACTATTTTACTGTTCAGTCAAAAGACATTTTTGGGCGATATGGACCATTTTGTAATATAAAATCTATTCTTGGGTTTTCTGAAAACCTTACCTAAAAGTCCTCAGTAATTATATGTTGTATATATGTCGTGTTTTCATATTTGAATGTTTGTTTACAGTGTTTCTCTAACACTATACATTGTAACATTGCACAGTTAAGTTTGTGACCCCTTTGTATGGGGACAGTCCTACATGTATTGTGTCTTGGAATTTTGTGTATTTCTAATTTGCATTCAGTATGTACTTCTGTGATCTGTGTTCTCACACAATACCCTATCATGGACCCATGTTGCCACTGTGTGTTCCTATGGTGGCAATGGAGTTGCTGCTGTGTCAGAAGCACTCTTGTACAAGCAGCCAATTTCCCCATTCTTGACAATCAGCTATAATCCTGGGATGTATCCCTGCCATGATCTAGTGCACAGAAATTCCTTCCTTTGTTTTTATTCTAAAGCAGACTATTGATTTGTGCCCTTTTCTTTGTTTTTGTTTGGCTAGCAATCATTTGAGAGAAACAACTTGGAGGTTTTGCCTAAACACCACAATTAGTTAGGTCGGGCATTGTGGGACATACCTCTAATCCCAGCACTTGGGAATTCAAGGCAGGCTGATTTCTTAGTTCAAGCCAGACTGGTCTACAAAAAAGTTCCAGTGTAGCCAGAGCTATTTAAAAGGCTGTTTTAAAGAATTTTTTTCTTTGTTAAACATTGTGTGCTATATATATGAAAATGCACAGTGCTTCTTTAAAAAAAAAAAATTCAACCTGCTATTTCAACCACGGAGTTTATCCCTTAGGTTGGAGACTTTAATTTGCTGATTTCTAATTTCTTTAAATGCCTCCCTTTGCCATGTTTCTGGCTTCCCTCAGTATTAAGAGAACGTAATGCTTAAAAAGGCTCTGATAAAAGGATTTTGTGCACACCTCTCCCCAAAGAAGCACTGAAGTAGAGTGCAACCAGTCCAAGAGATGGTGTGTCAAGAGAGCCCTGAGATGTCTGCATCACCACTCAAGAGAGACAGATTACATAGCTAGTAACTGGGATGTCAAACAAACCAGCATGCAGCATGGTGCTCAGATGGGACACTCTACTGGTGCACAGTGGAAGTTATGAGGTACGAATAGGGAGCGGTTTCCCTGGGGTCTGGAGTTCCTCTACATCTTCATAAATAAAGCTTTTTTGTCAGTTGTTCTGTCTATGTGAAATATTGGTGAGCCAGGTGTGTTGACATACACAAGTCCCAGTTCTTGGAGGGCTGATGCAGGAGTATTGTGAATCCAAGGACAGCCTGGTCTATATAACAAGACTGAAAGAATCAGATTTGGGTTTGGCTTGGTGCAGCCTTCATTCCCAAAATTCAGGAGGCAGAGCCAGTTGATCTTTATGAGTTTGAGCTAGCCTGATCTACATAGCAAGTTCTGGGACAGCCAAGGGTACAATTCAAGTCCCTGTCTCAAAGAACTAAGGGAAAAAAAATCAGATTTGGAAACTACTTCCAGATGCCAAGACCTGCTTGCTTTCAGGCATTTTGTAGCAGATGGAACATACTGGAATCCCCTGAGGTTCGTACAAGACTTGAGATAACAGTGTGCCCATGACTGACCAACAGTATATCAAGAAAGCTGACAGCGTCAAAGGACACCCAGAGGAAGGTTTCCGTCTGACCTTTTAGAGGAGGTAGCTAAAATAGCATTACTGTTGAAGGAACTGGAGTGGAATTCCCACTGTCAATGTCCCAGTGGCACCAGAATAGAGCCAGCTTAGTAGTGCAGGGATTTAACAAGGCAACTCCACGTAGTTAAAAGGAGGTTTGTTTTGAGGTAACTTACGAGGTGCAGTCCAGTGGGGTTCTCTGGAGAACTCTGACTCTGCCATCCAGCATCCAGGATCACGAGGAACCAAGAGGGCTGGCACATCTGGATCTTGGGTGTTAAGGGCTCCTGTCCCAGCCACCCCCCAGAGGCACATCCTAGGTAGGCATGGCAGTTACTGGCTGCCTTACTGGGGCCGTGCTTCAAGGTCAAAGCTGGAACAGCTACCCACTACATCTTGCCCATTTGTCTAAATAAGAAAGTTCTAACCTAATACAAAACTGTATACAATAGGAATGATCATCAAATATTGTCCAGGAGGAACAAGGGATAATGACCTAGACAAGATGGAGCTACAACCAACAAGAACAACATCAAACAAGAGACACATACTAAAATACTAAAGTCCAGAGAAGTCTGGAGCATAGATAAATGGTGTATTACAGAGGTCGTTCCTAAAGGTGTCCTATCCTAAAGAACCTGAATATAATATGTTCTAGCTAAGATACAAGAAGGTTGTAACTATAACTGTTAGTCTTCAATCCCATCAAAGACCTGAGACGAAATATAATACCTCTGAGAAACGAGAGAAGGATGCAAGCAACTTTCAGGAGTCTTTAGAGAGTAGACAGAGACAGTTGGCAGCCTGGACAGTCACCTAGAGTTTATCAGCATTGTTGGTGCATTCAAATTGGCTACAGGCCTAGAGTATCTGTCAGACAATTTTACTGTCAGCAGTTGAGGCAAGGGCAGTTCTTTGCCCAGTAGGCCATTTTGTGCCAAAGTGAAGACAAACTTCCAAACTGAAATGTCTCAGAAGCCCAACATTCTCTCAGGATCAGATCAGTGCTGCCAGGAGCAATTGTGTCTCACGTCAACAGAATTCCAAGGTATCAAAACATTTAAATGCCATATTCACGTCAATGAAGTGTTTCAAGATTACCTATAGAAACATATGTTTCTATAAATCTGGAGAACTGAACATAACTATAGAGATGACAAGTATTGGTGACTATAAATCTCTTAAGTCTTACCTACCTAGATAACCTAAGGACTAAGGCTTCACGTAAACAGGGTAAACAGTCTGTAAGCAAATGTACAGTAAAAGGACAATGACCTCAAAATTGTGACAGTACACAAAATAACTAAAGCAGAGGTAGGAATGTATAGTACAATATGCAATATGACAATAATCCGAAATATGTATCAATATACCAAATATCCTAAACAGAAGTAGAACATAACATACAGTATGACAAATACAATTTTACACACGTATCAGTATACAAGCATTTCAAATAAGAGGAGAAATTTATGTACATTACAGCAAATAGGTTCTGTATTTGTATCAATATATAAATTATCTGGAATAAGAATATAAAAGGTTTACATTTGCATCAATATATAAGAATCCATAACAGTGCAATTTATCTAAGGCTGGTATTTTACTAAATTAGTTTACTAGTATATATAATAATCTACCTTAATATGCTATACCTATCCATTCTTTTTTTTTTTTTTTCTTAAGGGAAATACCAAGTCCAATGTTTTCTTCCACCCCCAACCCTATAACCCTTATCCATAACCCCCAGAAACATGAAACCTTTGGGAAAAAGGGGGCATAGTTTTCTTAGAATTGATTCCTGCTGTTCAGGGGGTGATGGTATCTCTGTGGGGTCCTGTAAGGAAGCTCAGATAAGTCTCAATTGGAATTACTCTGAGACTGGCTAGAAGTGTAGTATGATGAACCATCTTATTATGGAATTACCTTGGAGAGTTTTCAGTCCAAGGTTAATCATTGAGTAATATTTGTGAGTACCATGGCATAATTCTGAACTGGGTAGAGGTGTTGTGGTGCCCCATATTCCTTCTGGAGACTTCAGAGATTGCTATTGGAAAAGACTTATTTTTTACTGTGGAAAACTTGAACATTATTAATATCAAAATGGAAAGTTTGGATTAAAGATGACATGACATGTAAGAAAGAATTCTGAGAAATCAAGAATAAGCAAGGAGAGAGTTAGAATCTTAAAGACAATGGTCCCTTTTTATTGGTTTTCTACTGTCCCACACCAGACAACTCTTCTGATACGAGACAAAATCTCTCAACCTTTTCTTTTAGCAGTATGCTTGGGTTTAGAGGAGTGAGCTAATTCCAACTCCAAAGCCAGCTTGGCATGTAAATGAATCGGAACCACAACTTTTCTAGTGTTAAAGAGATATAGATGTTAGACAGTGAGATTTTACCCTGTGTAGATTGGTACCAATAGATTCTTTTCTTCTGTTATAGATGTTTTTATACCCAAGGTCTTATGATTTCTGGAAGATGGGTATTTTTATTATCCTGTAAAGACAAAAACAGAACCCTACCCCAACCCTTGTTTGTTAAATTTTTCTTACAACTTGTAGAGATGTCACATTGGTGGATGAGCTTTTACTTTTCCTCATCAAGGGGTTTCTCCTGTTCAAATCGAATTTTTATTAATTTTGTTGGTATCCATAGCTTTTCTTCTCCTGCAGAAACAAAAGTAAAACTCCTCCCCCAACATAGGACATATCCTGGTTTCCATTCCGAGGTCAACACATCTTTGAAATAAACCAACGGTTGATTTAGCTCAGAAGTTTTGTTTGTTGTCCATTGTCTCTCCACAGCTGTTGCTCCTTTCTCATCAGCATTGAGAAAATTCAAGGTTAATAAAGCATTATGCAATCTATTTCTAGGAGTCATTGTTACCTGTTGCTGCTTATTTAGCATATTCTTTAAAATTCGATTAGATCTTTCTATGACTGCTTGGCTTGTGGGATTGTATGGTATACCTGTAACATGCTTTATATTGTAATAAGCAAAAAACTATCTCATCTTATTGGAGACATATGCTGGGGCATTATATGTCTTAATTTGTACAGGTATTCACATCATGGCCTTAACTTCTAATAGGTGTGTAATTACAGAATCAGCCTTTTCAGAACTCATAGGAGTTGCCCACTGAAATTCTGAATAGGTGTCAAAATGGTATGGTGTACATACTTTAATCTTCCAAATTCTGCAAAATGAAACACATCCATCTGCCAAATTTCATTTCTTTGTATACCTTTTGGATTGCTTCCTGCAGGTAATGGAGTTTGGTTATAGAAGGAACAAGTAGGACGTAGGACATTTTTTTTTACAATGTCCTTGGCTTGTTGCCAAGTGATGGAGAAATCCTTCTTCAAACCTTTGCTATTTACATGGTATTTCTTATGAAATTCTGAGGGTTCTAGCATGTTTCCTATTAGTAACTGATCAATCTCATCATTACCTTGTGCTAGAGGTCCTGGCAGACCCATATGGGATCTGATATGTGATATTGTGATATATATATACATACCATATATATGATATATATACCATATATATGATATATACCATATATATGATATATATCATATATATCGTGTGTATATATATATATGATGTTCCCTATTTCTGATGACTTCCTGTAATTGTATGAATAATGAAGTTAATTCTGTACTATTAGGA